CTCATGAAATAAGGTCTTTCCGGTGAACCGTCATTTGTTTCCATGTCCTCCACTAAAAATTTGAATTTTTTTTTAAACAAAATATAATAAAAAAAGAAAGAAAAAGAAAGAAAAGAAAGAAATGGTGGAATAATTTTTTAAATATACTTACGGGCGCATAAAAATAATGTATCGACGGCCATTGAATAAACTTTAAAAAATAAACTCGATATGAAATAACCGGCGGCGCATATTATTATCATAGGTACGAAATAATAATCGACTTTGTACCTTTTCTCTTGATTTAATATGTCTTCTATGGAAGGTACGGGATTTGTGAAGAAATAAAATGCGATTATACCAACGCAAGTTGTTACCGTGACTTTTCCGAGGAAAAAAAGAAAATTTGTCACCTTAAACAACAAAGAAAAAAACGTTAAAATTTTTTTATGTCATCCCACGGGATGTCAATAAAGAGAGAGAGAGAGAGAGAGAGAGAGAAAATAATAAAACTTACTCTATCTAATATAATAACTCTCAATATATTTCTGCTCAATAATTCGAATGCAATTTTTGCCGACGTGCAAAAATTTTTCCCATGTATAGCACACATAACATATGCATTCTTATTTAAAAACCTATAAATTATCATTATTATTATTATTATTAATTAAATTTATCACGGGTGTGAATAAATAAATAGAAAAGAAACGAACTTTAAAAATGCATTTAGTAACCAAAAAAAACAAGAGCAGCAACATTTAATAAATTTAATTAAACAATTATCGTATTTGTTTATGTAATAATAAATATATTCGATGATGACTCTTATCCAATTGCATAATGCTAAGAGTAAAGATCCTAATGAAACCGTACCTAAATGATACCTGAAAGAAAAGTAAATCAAATGAAAAACACTTCCGGTTAACAAGAAAAAGGGAAAAATTTGGGAATAAGTACCTAATGACTTTCCAAACGCTACCACCAACCATAAAAACGGGTAAATTATCTTTGTTAAATGTCCAATAATATGTTGAAAATGTCGATGCTAATACCATTTGACCAAAACCGGAAACGAAAAACAAACACCAAAATATCATGAAAAGATTATATAAGTGAAAATAAATGGATTGTTTTTTAGTTTCCTCGTTTGAAAAAACGCATTTGGCCGTTGAACATGGAATGTCGTTTGAATTTATCCTGTGACAATATTTATCGAATGTTTTTTCATCGCACGACGAATTTTCCTTTAAATAAAATGATAATGATGATGATAAGTATTATTCATTCTTTCCCCTCCCCCCCACCCCCCGGTCGAGTTCTATACCAACCACGTAACCATTATGGCAAATACATTCGGATGATTCAATCAATCCTTTGACTCTTTTAACAGGAATTCCAGAATTTATCAAATAAGCGAATAATAATATGGCGTATGCTATGAATATCAATTGGAGTAACCAAAGGAACAATGGAAAAACAACAGCCGACCACGAACACATGACTGCTCTAAAATTAAAATAATAATAATGATTTTAACGGATTTTTTTTTAAATTTGAATCCCCTCCCTCCCTCTTCACTTACTTGCTTCCTTCTTTGATTAATTCTATTGCCAAATGTATTCTATGTCTTAAAAAAATCAATGTTAAAAGTATTATTATTAATACGACGATTGAGAGAACGAAAAA